ATATGCATATCTCTTAATAAACTTTCTGATTAACCTCCTGATTAGCTCCACTCGCATACCACCTGATCAACCTCAGTCCCTGATCAAACCCACTCGCATACCCCGTGATCAACCTCATTCTCTGATCAAACTCACCCCCTGATTAACCTCACTCGCATACCTCTTGATCAACCCTGATCAACCGCACTCGCATAACCCCTGATTAACCTCATTCCCTCATCAAGCCCAATTTCATATCCCCTAATTAATCCCAACATACCTTCTGATCAACCTCACCTCCTGATTAACCTCAGTCGCATACACCCTGATCAAGCCCACTCGCATACCCCCTGATCAACCTCCCCCTCTTATCAACCCCACTCTTATATCCCATAAATACCTCCACTCGTCAAGTTAACCTTCATATACATACCCCCCCCAGTTCATCCACAAAACAGTTTCACCTCCAGAAGGCTTTACCTAAGGAATGGTTATCGGACGGGCTTAGCCCCAGGTCGGTCAACCGCTTGACAAATATTTTCGTAGACAGAATAACCCGCAGAAAAATTTACCCCTACACAAGTTGATTCAGGATAAATGATATATGTTTATTTATTTTATTAATACAATATTAATACGTTTGATGGCATCATCATATTCTTCTTAAAATTCAATCAAATTTTTAAAGTTAATGATTATATTGTATTTAAGATCCGTCTTCTTGTTACTGTTGATATTATGAGCAATAATGATACTCTCTAAACAAATGTCGCAGGCATATAGTAGTAGTGTCTTGCACCATGCACATTTCATAATTGCTATATTTTCACAAATCTTGCAGATAGGATCTTCTTCAATTGCAAAGCAATATTCTGCAGGATTATCGAATTTAGGAGGTTTTTCATCCAAAAATCCACTTTTGCACCAAGAATATTTGAATGCGTTTTGGAATCTAAGTGAAGATAATTGATTATATGTAATAGATTGTAATTTTATAATATTATTTCTTTGATGTAAATTTATGTCCGATCCGAATAAAATTACAGCATCAGATATTTTCCGCACAAAGTATTTCCAAATTCTAAAACCAAAAACATCCAATGACTGAATTTTGCCTGTGATACCCTTAGGGATTATCATCAATCAAAAATTGTTGCCTCGAGGTATAACTTCTCGTACAGTGCGTTCACATTGCCCACTCCATGAGTCCAGTAACACAACTGCAGGTTTTCCACAATTAGGAAAAAAGACATCTCCTAACCATGTTTGAAGTAATTCAATCAACAGTTTCCCTAAACAGTAGGCCCAAATTCGCCCCTTGGTTCTTTCAAAACCATAAAAAGAGGCGAGAGTAACATACCTTCTTCAGATATCGTCGGTTGTATTGTATAACTATGTGTAGTAGATGATATTGATTGTACAACCGTTTCAACTGTCTTTATCCCTTTCTCATTGAATGTCCTGTCACTATGCATTTCTAAATTAAACCTACTTTGATCAAAATTATATACATTACTTGCTCTTTTTTTAGATAGTTCAGATTTCACTTCATTAACAAAATTTTGATAATTTAGCTGTAAATTAGGCTCATTATCAATAGATACCTTTGTTACATGTTTCTTTATTTTACGTGATAAAATTTTGTTTTCTTTTAAATAACAATATCCACTTTGGTGATGCTTTAAAGCAAGGCACATTCAATTCATGCTTCTTTTCTAAAGCCCATCTTTTAAGATCTAAATCATGAACTGTTAACTTCCGGTTTAAAGCATTTTTAATTTTTTGGGGGTATACTCTGAAATTTTAAGCAAATTATCTCTTTTAGTTCCGCCTGAAGAAATTTGCTGTTTCCATATTCTCAACTGATGTTCTGATTAATTTATACTTACTTTGAACGGAACTTAAAGACAGCTTCTTTCTTTTCCACTTTCTTAGTATTCAACAGCTTTTCTTTTGTATCCAGCATCGACTGTTGTATTAGTTATAATAGTTACAATTAGGCACCTCAGCATAGTCTTCAGCATATATTTCCTCAAAACCACCATCAATCACATCTAGATTGATATCAAAATCATCTAGGATACATAAATTGTCACTTGTTTCATACTCAACGCTTGAATAATTACGTTCAATACTTTTTTTCAATACATCGTCGATATAATCGTGTAGCTGTTTTTCTGCGTCATTAAATTTTGGTATATTTTCCACTATATCAGTTAAATGGACTGTTTTTAATAAACTTTGCATAACATTGTGAATTTCGATTGCCGTTATCACACAATATTGATATTTAAAAAAATTATACGATGTTAACAAAATTGTATTACTGTCCAACTGAAATATGTTGACATAATACGATATATATACACATATATATACTGTAACGGGGTGGTTATCTAGCAAAAATGAGAAATTTATATAAGGACAAACTCCCACGATGCAGAGCTAACTGCCGTTCCGTTAAACACGTATAGTTATACGTGTATTTGCCTTTACGTTTGATAATTTCGTTTCAGTGTCTTCTTTCTAACCGAGTCGAACTCACCTTAAGTCACTTGACTTATGACACTCGATCTATCTTCAGTATAACTGACTTAATGCCTAATTCGCCTAATTCCCTAGATGAAATCGGATTAAGACCTAAGCCTTTATAGATCGATTAAGCTAATAGGAAACGAAATGACGTAAACGGCGAATAAAATTAAAAAAATTTTAAGCAATAAAAAACTACAGTTTTATTGGCCGAAAGACTAACGCACGCGAATAGGATTCACAATTAATTATTAATATTTAGTGAGAAGGAGAGAGAGAGAGAGGGAGAGAGAGAGGGAGAGAGAGAGAGAGAGAGAGAGAGAGAGAATTCGAAAATTGCCGCGAAATCGAACGCTCGGCGCGAATACAAAAATTTACGATCGCCATTGACAAAATACTTTCGAAAGTATTTTGTCGCGCAACAATAAAGGGAGATGCACCTACCCTACGGTGCAATTACGGTGATCAGCCGTAATTGTTGAAGCGAACATGAAATATGCTCCTCGGATCAATCAGCTATGATGCCTCGCTCTCGAATCTGCTGCTACTTGCTTCTACTGTGATGCTGTTGCCGCTGCTAAAATGCTGCTGCTACTGCTTCCTCGTAACTCACGCACGCACGTATCAAAATAGTCCCAGGAAACTTTCATTTTTTAACGGCGAAACACAGTGCAAAACCTTCGGTGGTACTTTCGCGAAAGCAGCTGAGGCTTAACTGCCTATTTTGAAACTCTAGCGCGCCCTTAGTCATATAAAGTCCTTTCACTCTCTCTTAGTCTTTCGAATTAACACGCGAGTAAAAGAATCGCGAACGGATCGATTAATCGAATCGACTACCGTTGCAATATATTGTTAACACACACACACACACACATATAACAAAATTTTTTTGAAGTTTGGACCACATAAAATGCAATTGATTAATCTTGAATTACCGTATACACAGGGTGAACCATTTTAATCGAGGTGGCCAATTATTTTGTTCCGGAAGCATGATAGCGAAAAATAGTTTGGATAAAAGTTTTAGAGTTTGGAGGGGGACACCCGATAGTGACCTCCAACTTGACCTTGAAATTGAGTTTTAAGGTTATTTGAAGGTCAACTTTGTTTTTTTAAATGGAAACCCTATTTTTTATTCTGAATTCGGATAGAGCGGGAAATTTTACGTTCAAATCATGTAATATATGTGAAGTCCTAATGACCCCCACCCCACCCCCAAAGTCATTTCGAGGTTAATCTTACGTTTAAATGAGTTAGAGTAAAGTTAAAGATACCAATATAGTTTATACTTAGGTTATCTCAGGTTTCTAATCAAGTAACAAAATAATATTTTAATATTTAAACTGACGAAAGCTCAGATTTGTCGGAATGCAAAAACGAGACAGGAATCGAAGATCATCAAGCGCAGTGAGTGAACAAGTGAGAGCGATCGGCGAAAGGCTTCTTTTATACCCACGCTGCCGAATCCTTCCCTAACTAACTTGACTTAAATTATGACACTGATTCATCGAAAGTTATTGGGTCAAATCCTGATTCATATATGGATTATAGCCGGTTTACAGAGTCGGTATGCGGAACGGATAATACAGCGGAGGCATTATCGTGTTCTACGATATTGATAACGGATTTGACGGAGGATACAAAATCGATGATTCTGAATGACAAGTACACTATCGACTAAGTAACTTTACAACAGTAGATACAAAAAAGTTTGATAGTACAAAATACGTGTACATATATAGACATATATCCACCCATGTGATTCACGTATATTGACGTCACACAAGCAAACGCTAGAGTATACTCACGTTGTTGCTCCAGCTTAGGCAGATTCTTATTCGGCAATTTTTGAGCTAGATTTTGGTGCGGGGGGGGGGGGGGGGGTAGCAAGGGAAACTAAAGCAATGCGTGATTGAAATTAACATTACGAGCGCTTGCAAAATATATAATATTACAAAATTTATTGCACCTTTCGGAGACCAGCGGTGGTTAACGGACAATTTGTGAACGGCCGAACTACCTGTAACAAATAACAGCAACAACTATAATATAATAAATTAGTGTTACAGTCTAATCGGTTGGCGTAACTGTACTCATAATTTGAATTCTACGATTGCACAATGCAAGAAGCGAAAATCAAACTGATTAGAGCTCATCAAGCATTAATTAATCAAATGAACATTTTACATTATCTTAATATATATTTGTATTGACAGTGGTAACTAATTTACTATCATAATTTACTATTACCTGCATAATTTACTATCTCATCCTGCTTGATCACTGTGACTTCTTAGCTTTTTGCAAATTTACCAGGTTATGCTGTTTATACAAAAGCATTTATATTATCAAAAACAGTAACATGTATTAATGGTTTTTTTGTGCTTTTGTGAGTATTCTATTTCTTTTGATCATTCATTTTAAGCCTCTCTAATTGTTAGATTGTGATACTATTTCACGTTATTATATTTTCTTATCTGTATAGTAGCACGGGTATGCTATCAGCCAGTAGATGTTGTGTATTGACATTGCACAGAGTATGACTCGACAGTTGTGGTTTTTATTTCATACATTTAACTAAAAAAAATAAAATGATTCAATAAACACGAAATATCAAAACAAGCTAAATAACCAAATAATACTACTCGATTTTTAAAATTAAACTTTTCATGTCATACATTTATAGTCAGTGTATTCACCAATCTAACCTTATATTTCTGTTATATCGCAATATCAATCTATTTCTATCTGTATATTTGAAATTTACACAGGCAAGATAGTTATAAAAAAAATGTCTATTAACACTTCTTCAATAGAAATTGATTTCTGTAATAGAAAAATATCATCTACATTCAGTGACAATTATTTATTAGATTATCATGACAATTGGATTGTGAAATACAAAATAGCTAGATAGTAATTTATTAGTTGGTGCAAATTCACTCATGTTTACTATTTACAAGAAAAATGTTTTTAAACAAGAAATAAAATTTTATGGTATTTTTATATTCTGAACATTGTATCATTTTTATCTCACCATAAAAAATTGTTTACTGAACAATTCACCAATAAAATTGAATAGTATATATTATATTTTCAATATTTATATCATTCAAGTATCCTAATCAGAATTGCATAATATGTAGAAGAAGTATTATTATATTAATAAAAATAAAATACATCATTCTTGCCTATTTATATATTTTGAACCAAACAAATTTATTGTCATACTAATCTGATAAAAAATTGATTTTATTTTTATATTGTATATGTATATTATTATATATATTTTTGTAGTATATTCAATTTTTCTTGTATCATTATTTTTCCTTTATTTTCAATAGTATATTTCTAATCTTATTTTGTTCAAATATAAATAACTGTTTTATATTTGTGTACAATTTTCATGTTGGCTTATAATTTTTATGTAATATACATCACTCTAATTTTTGTTTATTTTTAGATTTGTAGAAAATTGTAGAATATTCAACTTCAACAACAGGTCTTTCCATGTTGTTTGATTTAAATTGTCTATAGATTTTAATGGCAGATGTGTAAAGGTATACTATATTAATATGGAAAATAGTCGTCATCAAGTTCAAAGTCATCATTCATTTTGGAAGAAAAATTCTAGAGCAGTCCCTGGCAGGTAAAACTACTTTGATATTATTTTGAATTCACTTTTTTTCCAATGTCGAAATGGCTTTGCTTGTAGACCAAGTTTAAAACAAGAATCGAAACAAGAAAAAAGTAATACTTTTACGAATTCAGTTGGAGGATCAGGAAGTATTGGTGGTCCTACATCTTTTCAAGATTTTCAAGAAAGTGTTGATGATGCTTGGGACTCAGGGGATGATGAGTTTTGTGTAGTTTCTGATGTAAAAATATCTAAAAAAGTTAGCCAATCAGCCGCTCTAAGTGTTATTAATTACCACAGATCATCGACTACGGGTATGTTACCACCACCACTCAGCAAGAAAGCTAATCAACAGGAAGTTATTTCTGAAGAAAAGAAAACTGTAGCTTTACAAAAATTAGTTGTACATCCTCATTATTCACAAAATGCCAATTTCATTGTCAGTGCCTCTAAAACTGATACTCATGGAGAAGCCAAGTTTAGTGTCAACCATGAACGTCATACTCAATTTCCTGGCAGGCCTCAACCTATGCGGCAAACTAATTCCAGTTCTAAATTCTTTGTACCTTCTAGAGAGCAAGGTAATTACCACAATTCAATTTAGATTTTTTTAAACATATTTTTTAATGTGTTCATAACAAAAATTTATCAAACAAGTTCTACTTTATACACACAGAAATATATCTATATACGAGATGATTTAAAAACATATGTAAACTTTTATGTCGTCGGATTCATCTCGAAAAAATACATAAGATGTAATTATACAAAGATTTTTATTTTAAGGGAGTTAAGCATCTACAAGAATTAACGAATAAAAAATCTTCTATAAAAACCCTGTTTCTATAAGAGATTTTCCGACTTTTATTTTACGTTGCCACAAGCAAATTGTACACGTGGCCTTATGCAAAATCTCGGAGTTGTCCGTACAACATCGGTGATATCTTTTTACTGACGAACAGATAATCATATTAAAATAATAAAAAATTAAAATGTCTAGGAATACTTATCAACTTTATTAACATACGAAGGTGGGCTTTAACAATATAATAATAAATACGATAAAATTAACAAAAGACTGTGTTTCGTGTTTTAGGTTACACATATCGCATTGTCGCATTCGTAGGTTATGTGTACGAAATTTGAAATGTATGCGTTTTATCTGTTTAAAAATTCTTACTAACTAATGATTAAAATTAGTTGTTTTTTTTAAAAATCATATTTTTGATAAATAAAAAACAATATAATTATTCGTGTAAAAAACAATTGTAGTAAGCATGTACGAACAACTTTATTTTCATACATATATTGATAATATAAAGTTTTATTCAATGCCATAATAAAATTAGGCATATTTCAACAGTCCCAAATTATTTTTATAGTTTTTGTCACAAAAATAATACATATTTACGAACTACATTCAAGTAAATTAGTATTCGGTTTTTAAATAATCATAGATTTTAATTTTTGCTTTCTTATTATTAGTCACAAGAATTTTTTCGTTTTCGTCAGCACCTAATAAGCGAGATAATCTATCAAAACCCTGTTCTATATATGCATCGATAATTAGAACTACCGTGGTATCACAAGCAGTCATTTTTTTCTCATCTGGGTGGATGTTCAGCTCTTCAACTGATATAATTTCATATTTGAACTGTATTTTTTCTAGATAATGTCTGTTTTTCTTTTGCATCTTGCCATGTTATAGCTGCTATTATTATCTCCTTATCAGTAATTTCATACTTTGCCATAACTTAATCTCAGCGTCGCTTAAAGCATCATGAGCTTTGCAACCTTTCATTTTTCATTTAGCAGCAATATTTTTTAGTTTGTTGCAACCTGCTGTTTTGACTTTAGTAATATTTCTAACTATTGATAGAGTATCCAAAAATTCATGAACGAGAGACTGAAAATATCAATCTAAGTATATTTTTTAATAGTTTTCATTAATCTCTGAATTGTGTGTCCTTAATACATACGGTTTATTGAAGCTATATAAAAATTGATACAAACCTATAAGTGCTTTTTGTAAATAACCGGTATCCACAACTTTTCCATAAAGCAACAAATTGCCGTTAGTAAATGTTAGTCCGTGCACTTGACTAGATTGATTCCAGATTGCTTGACCAGGTTTTATGTACGCGCTCAATTCATAATGTTGATGTTGTGCTGTTATCTGGAGAATATTAGTCACTAGACAAACTACCGGTTTTAAAATCAAAGAATACTAAAATAAGCCCATTTTATATATTTAGAGAAATTACTTTGATGCTACTGTAAATATAGTCATTTATAAAAGTTTTAGATTTATAGGTGAGCCCGTCAAGTAGTTTATACTTTGATTTAAGCTCTACTTTTTCTGTCTAAACTATATTCTTGAACTCTAGAGCGAGGATTTTTTTGTATTTAATATTAGAATTATCCATGCTCATATAGTATTCTTCAAGTATTTTTAGAAGGAGTTAATGGAAATCTAAGTAAAAGCTCTATTATATAATGTTCTCCTTCATTTTTTTTCAATACTATTAACTTAACATGAAGATTGTAAAAGAACAATGTACTAGATAATTTAGATTTATCTAGCAACCATCGTATTGTAACTTTCATTAGCGTTACTTCATACTCCTCTCAATAATCCAACAGATTTATCTGCTATACCGTGAAAAATTTCAATCAAAAAATTAAAAAGTTGAAGATCTTCAAATCTATTCTAGTTTTACAATCATTGAGTGCTTGTAAGACTCTGGATTCTTTGAATACTGGCATTAATCGCTATAATTAGCATGCAAATTAGAACCGTGAAATGTTATATTTCTAGTAGCGACAGATAAAGCAACGACATTTCTTTTGTTCTGTGCAACATAGTAGGTGAAGAACTTAGTTAGATATCTTATTGACGCAGCATTCAATTCCTTGTATTCTTTTACACTTTTGAGAAGTATTGAAGTAATTATATTAGCCGTGTAGTTTACACGATCGTGTTTTATAATTTTGTAATCTACAGCATTGTGCGCTGCCTGAATTGCTGAAGAGTCACAGTCAACAATAAAGATTCCAAGCTGGATTTTGTAAGCCGATAGAATTTTTTTATATTTGCCAACGAGTCATGCAATAGATTTGGACTCCATGCTTTTGGTAGTATCGTGATAGTTTAGTTTATAGTCGTAGTCACTTTTGGAGTGGCCACGATCACATAATCGGTATTTGCAAATAAAAATCACTTGCAACATGACTTTCCCAATAAAACCCTATATTTTCATTCATACTCGATAAGATATTGTAACTTCTTTCTGTGATCCTTTTGTTGGCCATCCCATAACAATGGATTCTGTAATTCAAACGATATCGTTAGACATAATGTTTTTATTTTCTTCGTTATCTTATGAAACAGCAGGAAATAAGAAATTTTTCTGTAAATGCTCCGGCTTGTAAAAGTCAGAGGATCACAGAAATTAAGAGAAATAAAAGATACGAGGTCTGTCCTAAAAGTATCCGACCTACCTCCATTTCTCAGCGCTTGATATAACCTTTGTCATCTGGGGGATGGCATCCTTCAATGTAATCCCCATTTGATTGAATAAGACGCTCATATCGATGTTTCCACTTATTAAAGTACTTTTGAAAGTCAGACTTTGGAATCGCTTTAGTCGGATCGATGTCCCTTAAGCGGTATTTCAATCAAGGAAACAGCCAAAAGTCGCAGGGAAATATATCAGGACTGTATGGAGGCTGACGGCGCTGCGTAACACCATATTTCAGTAAATACTGCTGCACAAGGTTTGATGCGTCCCTGGAGCATTGTCGTGATGAAAAAGCCAGTCACCGGTTTCCCAAAGTTGCGGTCGTTTTCTCTTGATTGCATCACGCAATCTTTTCAAAACTTTAACGTAGTACTCTTTGTTGATTGTCTGGTCTGTAGAAGTATATTTGTGATGCACAACGCTTAAAGAAACGCTAAGCGATACGCAGATGGGATTCAGGAAGAAAAGAGGACGCAATATATATAATAAAAACAATAATAGGGAAGGAAATAAGGGGAAAAGGAGGTAACTGTTTGTATTCTTTGCCGACATGAAGGCCGCTTTTGGCAAGAGAAAGAGGAAGAAAATATGGGAAAAATGAAAAAGAAAGGGATAAACAGAAAAATTAGGAAAAGAACAGAAAAATATATAAGAAAACAGGGCGTAAGGTAAAAGTTGGAGAAGAAATAATTGGGGAGTTTGAGACTTACAAAGACGTGAGGCAAGGGTACCCTTTGAGCACCACGCTATTTAATTTTGCCTTCGCCAACCTGGAAGTGAAGATCAAACAGGTACATGAAGGAGGGGTAGTGATAGGAAGGAAGAAAATATGGACATTAGGATATGCAGATGATATAGTGATGATGGCAAAGAGTGAAAGTGGAATGAATGCAATGCTGAAAAAATTAAAAAGATACCTGGAAGAAAGGGGATTAGAGCTAAATGTAGGAAAATCAAAATAATGAAATGCAGGAGAGGAGGAGAAAGGGGAAAGGAAGAAAAATTCGAATGGGGAGGTGAGAAGATAGAGATGGTTAAAGAGTACAACTACTTGGGATATGTGATAAGCAGAAATAACGGAAATAAAAAGCAGATAAAGAAGGTAGAAGGGAAAATACATATGGGATTGGGAAGACTATGGGGGCTAGAAGAAAAGCTATTTAGAGAAAATTGGGAGCTAAGGATGAACCTGTTCGACGCACTGACGAAAAGCGTGATTATGTATGGAGCAGAAATCTGAGGATGGAAGAGATATGAAGAAATAGAGAGATTACAACTTAAATACATAAAGTGGGTATTGGGATTAGATAGAAACACGCCAAGTTACTTAATACGATGGGAAACAGGAAGACAAGAAATGAAAGAAACAGCATTAAAAAGAGCAATGAGGTATGAAAACAAAATAAGAGAAGAAAGAGATGGCTCAATAAAAAAAGGAGCATGGAGACAACTAAAGAAAAGGGAAAGAAATGAAAAAGATAAAAAGGGTAAGAAGGAGGAGAGAGAGGAAAGGCTGGAAAAAAGTAAAATATACAGAGAGAGAGAAGAGGGAGATGAAATGAGGGAAGAGTTTTGGGAAGAGATAAGAGATGAGCTGAAGAAAAAAGATGAAAAAGAATTAGAAGAAAAGCTAGAAAAATCAAGATACATAAATGAGTGGAAAGAGCTGAAAGAAGAAATGAAAAGGTATAGATTAAAGGAAATTCAAGGAGAGGGAAGAATAAAAGGCCTATAAATAAAAGAAAGATTTAGGTTAGGTCATGAAACGAGAGGAAGCAGATATTGGGAAAAAGAAGAAAATAAGAGATGAGGAATGTGTATGAAAGAGGAAGAAAATTGGAAGCACTTAGTAGAAAAATGTGAATAAAGCAAAAAGAAAGGAGAAGAATGGGAAAAAATAATAATAGGAAGCAAAGAAAAGATAGCGTGGATGATGGAGCTAAAATGGAAAAGAAGAAGAAACGAAGAGGAGAAAGAAAAAGAAAAACAAGAAGATAAAATTTTAAGACCATAAGGACAGACGGAAACAGAAGACAGAGACGCAAGACTCGCAGACACAT